ATTAGTAATAAATGTTTATTTAGTTTGTCTCTGAGTTGGTAGAATCTGAAAATGAGTTTTCGAAGTCTTTTCACGAGAAAGTCTACATGTTTGTCCCAGCGTAAATGTTGGTCAAGCATCACACCCAGATATTTTATGGAATCCGTTTTTTTTATACGTGGACAGGAGCAAATCAAAGGATTTTGGCAGTTGGGGGTATGTATGAAAATGTTTTCCTCTAGTGGTTGGTCTCTTGTTGTTGGTGAGAAGGTCAAGAATTTGGTTTTATTGATGTTTAGACTCAGAAGACTAGAATTCAGCCAGGAAAATATAATGTTTAATCCGTTTTGTGCTTTCGCATAAGTAGAGTCCCATGTGTTATCATAGAAAATCAAGGCCGTGTCATCAGCAAACGAAATAACATTACCCTCAATGTTTTTCAAATTGTAAATGCTGTTGATATATATTAGGAACAGAATTGGACCCATGACAGTGCCCTGGGGAACACCCATGGCGACTGGCTTTGGCTGGCTATAGGTATCATTAATTTTGACCCTTTGGGTTCGACCTTGTAAATAATCGGCTAATAATTCCAAAGACTTGCCTCTCACTCCCACATTTCCTAATCTCTGTAACAAAATATCGTGATTGACAGTGTCGAAGGCTTTGGCCAAGTCTAAAAACACTGCTAGACACTTTTTCTCTTCATTGGCGCTATTCAGTATCTTATTCACTAACTGAAACACGGCTTTTTCCGTTGACATATTTTCTCTGAATCCATATTGGCATGGTGATAAAATCTCATGTTTTTCCAGGAAATTTACAAGTCTACTTTTCGAGCACTTTTCAAAAAGTTTCGCAAAGTTATTTATTACCGATAGATAGATTAGATCGAGACTTGAGGATTGAACTACTCTATATTTTTTTCTAGCTGAGAGGATTACTCCACTCAATGAAGGGGTTGTATACGTGCGTGAGCAGGGACCTAAGTGATTTCGCTAGAAACTCGTTCGAGGAGTTAAGAGGGCGCATCAGTCAAAACTGCCATGCAGAGGTCAGTTTGGTACCAAATCATTAATAAACTATAAGTGTAAGCGCAAAAGTGGTTGGTACATATTAAAGAAGAAGGTTGAGAATAGGATATGAAGGAATTTTCCAGCGAAATTCGATTTGTGTAAAAAAATATATGGTAATGAAAAACAATAACATTGACAACGTTTGTGTAACAGAATCGAATAAAAACCTGGCATACCCTAAGTTAGGAATTCAATGAATTTTTGATGAAATAATCAGCTTCTGGAACATTGTCGTTTGGGAATGTATTGTTCGTAAAATTAATTCTGACGTTTCTGCATCTATTTTCAATATCGCCATATTGTTAGCGAGGTTTCGACAGTGGCAGAGTAGTTCAGCTATTGTCTTTCAGAGGGCTACACAGTGAAACTACCGTGCTGCGCTCCTTCAAGAACTAATACAAACATTACAGTTCTCTTTCTATTCATTTCTTCTTTCTGGGTCCGGGGAACAGTGTTGCCAATAAGGCGCTTTTTAACTTCGTTTTGCGTCATTGCGATTTTTTGTAAGTAATTGCGCTTTTTTTTCTTTTTATAGTCTATCGAGTGTATTGCATAACTGACTCTGTTGATTGATAATATTAATCTAATATATAAAATTCTCCTGTCCCTGTCACGGTGTTTGACGCCAAACTCCTCCGAACGGCTTGGCCGATTCTTATGAAGATTTTTGTGCATATTCGGTAGGTCTGAGAATCAGTCGTAAACGATTTTTCAAATTGAAAATTCAAAATGGCGGATATCCAATATGGCGGACGAGTTTTGTAATCCGATTCTATTCAAAATTGGCATCTGAGGGTTTTCGGGATCGGATATTATGATTTCTTCGTCAAAATGAGGAGATTCAGAATGGCGGATACAATATATGGCAGACGAGTTGTTCAAATATAATCCGATTCTGTTCAAAATTGGTATCTAGGGAGTTTTCGGAGTCGGAGATAACAATTATTTCTTCAAAATTTGGAAATCCAAGATGGCCGATCCAATATGGCGGACAAGTTTCGAAATTATAGACCAATTGTTTTCAAAATTGGTATCTGGGATTTTCGGGTCACAGATTCAGAATCTCTAGTCAAAATTGGGAAATTCAAGATGGCGGTTTCAATATGGCGGACGAGTTTTGTAATTATCGACCAATTCTATTCAAAATTGGTGTTTGGGGGTTTTCGGGGTCGGAGATTATGATCATTTGGTCAAAATTGAGAAATTCTCATATCCCATATCTCAATCGTAACGTAACCACCACTTTTCTTCCAATTTATAGAAAATAGTTTTGATTATCTTGAATTCCCATTCAAAAAACTGGTGTTGAAGTAAGTATACATAATCCACTCATGACAGGTAATATTCATAATTAAAAATTAGTGTAGGCATAAACAAAATATTGTCTTTTGTGATAGGCCCATATGAAACTCAAAAGATTATTTTTTATGAAAGCCAGTAATCAATCCTTTCCTCCTTTTCTCATTTGCTAAGAATTAGAAATCTGGTGCTACTTAGTTTCAACCAGTGACCAGTGATGCCAGGTCTAAGGAAATGTCATGAACATAAACGATTGACCCCTACTGATATATACAAAAACATCAGTGTTATAATATAAAATAGCAGAACGCTGGCAGCACTGCAACTGGCGGAGCGGGCGGTGTCGCGGTATCAGGGGTATCAGGCAGTGTGTGTGATAGTGTGATTCCCCGAACGATTCCAACTGGAGTTCAAAGAAAAATCGATAAGTGACCAGTGTTGCCAGTATGGGCGATTTCTCGACAATTGGGCTATCTCTGAACCTATTTTGGCGACCAAAAATTGAACTTGGCGACAGGCGACTTATTGAGACGACTTGATGGGCTTCTGGGAGTGAGATGAGTATCGCGAGTCCAAATTCAATGGCTTTGTGGCTTTACCATCCAAGTAGATTCGAGTCATCCGCACAGAGCGAGATCCATTTGACGTTAGCAGGTGTTTTGTTTATATTATGTTTCTACACTCTACAGTATCATTCATAAAGTTGGCATCATATGGGAAAAAATTTTGATAATAATATATCATAAACATCTCATCTATTTTCATCAGGTAAATGTGTCTGAAATGTTTCAAAAACGCACAGAGAAAACATGTCAACAAAAACTCCAAAATCTCCGGGAAGTTCAAATGATTATAAGAACCAAAGGTACAATGATACGTATAACTTCTTCATTCTCTGGCCACAGAACTCTGAAATAAAAAGAGAAAATCCCTTTCAACGAAAACCTATATAGATCCGGATCCAATATGCAAATTAGATCCGCCATCTTCAATTTCCTAATTTTGTCAAAAGAATCATAAACTCCGATACCGAAAACCCCCAAATACCAATTTTGAATAGAATAGGGTTATAATTACGAAACTCTACCATATTGGATCCGTCATCTTCATTTTTCTGATTTTGACAAAAGAATCATATTCCCCGATACCAAAAACCCTCAGATACCTACGAATTTTGAAAATAATCGGATCATGAACAAAACTCGTCCGCCATATTGGATCCGATATCTTTTATTTTTTGAATGTCGACAAAAGAATCATATTCTCCGATACCGAAAACCCCCAGATACCAATTTTGAAAATATTCGGATCACAAGTACAAAACTCGTCCGCCATATTGGATCCACCATATTTAATTTCCTTATTCTGACGAAAGTATCATTATTTTCAATCCCGAAAACCACCCGATACAGAGATTTTGAATAGAATCGGATCATAATTAGAAAACTCGTCCGCCTTATTGGATCCGCCATCTTGAGTTTCCAATTCAAAAAATAGTTTACGATCGATTATCAGACCTACCAAAAATGCACAAAAATTTTCATAAGAATCGGTCAAGCCGTTTCGGAGGAGTTTGGCCACAAACACTGTGACAGAGAATCAATAATATATGTTAGATATAAACTATCGTATGACTTTTATTCTATGGTGAGGTCATCACAGGATGGGAATACTAGGTGGTAAATATAATAATGTGAAATATATCATTCCACTTATGAATTTCTACTACTACTAATTTGGCGACGTACTCTGATTAAATACTGGCAACACTGTAGGTGACTTTGTACCTGTTCCCTTAGTACAGCCACAAACATTATTCAGAGACATCTATTGATGGGGTTCCCTATTGATTGAATTGAATGTATCTAAAGGATTCTGTAGAAATAATTCATGAAACTATAATTATGGCGCCACTAGACGGCTGTGATATATTTATAGTTTCACTGGTGTCTGTGGGCGAACTATTTCACTGTGATGCGCGCCCTTAAGAGAGTCAACATACTGGAAGTACTGGAGATGCGGCGGACGAAGGCGGCAGTAATAAGAAGGTTCCGCTTTTAGGTTTATCGCTTCTATGTCGAAAACGGTTCGTCGTACCGAAAAATTTCATATATCAAATGAAAGATCATAAAATTCTTCACAACTTTCTTTTCATATAGTTTTTTGCGAATCTTCAACTGAAAGGAAATTCTTATGAAGAATATCGTGCGTACCTAGGGAGGATAGGGAGAGGAAATAGGTGTTGGAATTTTTTTCGAACTTTTGGAGAGTCCTGAATTATTCGTTCCCGTCAAGAAATGTTTATAGACAATTCAATTTCCTGGAAGAATATATGTACCCTGTATTTTCTGATGTTACTAAAAAAATATATCAAGAATTATTTCGAATGAGTATTCAAATCTTGGGACCTTTTCAAAAATAACTGAGCTAGAGGGGCGGACATTTATGGTGAATCACCATGTACATACCTATTGCATAAACATGTGCGTCTATTGTTTTAAGGCTCATGCAATTGAATAATCAGCTATCTGTATTTCAATATTTAACTGGAAATAATGCATTTTTCATCTGGAATTTATCAAGATTAATCGATCATTCTCCGATTATCAATACAAATCTGATAGAACGTATTAAGCAATCACTTACCGTTCTGGTTTCGGTGGCATCTTTTCTTCTGTATTTTTCTTCAACAGGTTCTCTCGCTTTGTACTCGACATATCTTGCTCTCAGAATTTCTTCTCGGACCATGCCAGGTTGCTGTTTTTCTTTCTTCTTCTTGCTGTCACGTGTGAAGAGCGACTTCACCTAAAACACATTTTGTCAGGTATAATATACTAATTTACTACAAGTCACCAAATCGAACATTCGAAGCTGCGAAACTTTATTGTGATCTTCTTCTGAAAATGTTAGTCAACAACAAATATACAGGGTGTCCAGAAATTAGCCTGCCATACGCCACAAGCGGCTTCTACGACAAGAATAGGGAAAGTTCCATGAATCTCAAAATGTCTCCAAAGGGATTCTTGAAAGGGGGCACCTGAGGATGATATTTCCTGAATATTTCCGAAACGCCATGTGATAAAATGAAACAATTCGGTTCGAGAACTGAACTTTCAGGGCCGTATAATACAGTGTGCGACTACATCAAATGATGCTCAAACTTTTTTGTTTGTATTTTTTTCGACAATTCAATCTTGGATTACAGAACTCCAGACCCCTATACAGAAGAAAAAAGTCGTCTTGTTCCGTATAGATCGAATGTACCATTTTAGAGTGAAATCGATTTAAAAACATTATTTCATCTCACCAATATCCAACATCACCTTGAGGATTCCCTTTAGCTCGCTTAAAAGACATTTTTCGACTCATATTCATTAGAGCTTGTCTTCCCATTTTTGATCGTAGAAGCCGTTGGTGGATTTTGGCTGGCTGAAAAAATACTGGTCCGCCCAGGATTGAACCCAGATCAGCCGCTTTAGGGCCCTTAGACTATAATTGAATAATGATCCCAAATCAAACTTTTATCGGAATAGGAAATAAAAGTATCTTTCTCAAGTCACAAATATAGTTCGCAGTGTAATTGAAATCCACCTTGATTCCTTGAGAGTCTTAATTTTTTCCGAAAAATAGCTAATAACACGTTTCTTTTGGAATGGCTCCAATTAATGAATTTATAATTCATATTCCTTCCTTGGGAAATATATTTTGTTGATGAACTAATGTGTGATCTTTGTGTCAAAAGGTTCAGACTTTCATATTGCATAAACTTTGTGAGTATACGTTTTTCCAACAGCCATATTCTGTAATAGTTTTCAAAACAAATCTGTTTTCCCATTCATATCATCAGCTTTAGTCAAACGTATAATGAAACTGTGGATCGACTGCGACTTCTGATTCTGACAAGATTGAATAGCTGAGAGGTTTGGTATATGAATATGATTGTCCCAATCGCCAGTAAGTGCTATATAGTAAGTACTGTTTCGGCATACCAGATCACATCAGTCACACTCGGACAACTCACCCCTAATGAGTAGTTCGAAACCGTTGTATTTATATCTTGTTCCAGAAACAATATCGAATAAAACCCTTTACAACTCACATTGCATGAAGAAAAAGTTTCTACTTTCAATGAAATTTAGAATGAAATAAACATGGTGAGATCACAGGTTGATTATTACGTCAGGAATGCTAATCCATATGGAACAAATTATTGACAAGGGTGTGTCTTCGTATTCAACGTTTGATGGCGTTGGCGTTATGAATCCTTTGTTCACATATTTTGAAAACATAACTTCATATAGAGATTCTTCATTTATCAATACGAAAATGATCAAGATACCACGAACATATCATGAGAGGATCTGACCATACTATAGTTTTCAGTTCATCTTACCTTGTCTAGTCCACTCTTCTTCTCCGGTTTTGGCGGCTTCTTCTCGATCCTCTTCATCGTAGACCTTTCTACATCCTTATCTATCCTAGGATCGTAATGCGATCCATCATCTATACTCCTCTCCCTGGGTGCATAATTATCTGACCTGTATTTCTCCTTGTACTCCAAACTCTCCAAATTACGATAAGGATCATCTTCCCTAGAATAGGTTCGATCCGAATCGTACTCCCATCTCCTCCTTTGATTGATGCTGTTCTCAGTATGCTGCCTCTCACTTGCTATGAGCAAGGAACTCGCGAATCCCTCATCCTCACTTTCGTTGCAGTAATCCCTTCTAGAGTTACGCGATCGGGTTCCTCTAGAATTCTCTCCCGAATCTCTCCTAAAATCATTCTCGATCCCGGAGTCTCCGAACTTGTCTTTTCTCTCGTTATCATCATACCTGTCTATTCTGTACTTGGAACTGACCCTTGAATCAGTTTTCTCCCTCCTGATGGAATCGTGGTCTTCTTGGTGAGTTCTCAGGTGGATTTCTGGAGTTGATTTGTACATGGCTCGATCTTTGTGCAAAGTATGGCCTTCCAATCTATTGTATCTGTGACTAGTTTCAACTTTCCTATTTTCAGGTGATGACCTGTAATCGCTCAGCTGTGAATCAAAACTTTTGGGCTCATTTTCGGAACCGTTGTAGTAGTAACCACTGGATTTCAAGCGATTGTCGAACTCCAACCTATCTTTAGGATCTCCAAAGTATTGTGTTGACCTCGACTCAGTCGTGTGAGGTTTACCATACTCGTCAGTCCTCGTTTCAGATGAAAACTTTTCGCTATAACCTACGGGACTAGATGATCGCCCTCTGTAGTACTTTGAGGTAGATTCGGAAATGTACACATTAGAAGGTGAAGAGTGCTTCACGTACTCCGGGGAAGTACGTATAGAGTTGTCGTTGAGTCTCCTGTTAATTCTTGATTCGAGCTGGTCTCTCCTTGCAGCAAGATCGCTACGACCGTTCGCGAGGTTCGCAGAGAACAAACCGTTCTCGTGTGGTTCAGTTAGGCTTTCTCGTCTCTTGGCATCCATGCCATCGCCTCTTCCTCTCGAGGAAGAGTCTATGTACCCCTTGTGTTCGATTTTCCGCTCATGACTCGAGTATCCGTTGTAGGATGGATTTCTAAAATTTGGTTTGATGGGGCGCTCTTCTTCTTGTTTATCCACTTCATCAAAGAACTGATTATTTCGCTTGTCATCCCCGAAGTGAGTGATGGATTTCTCCAATCGAATGAATCCTGGATTTTCTTCACCTCCCAAACCTTCGTCCGAGTCCGAATGAGGATGTTTTTTGCCATTGGTGTACGTTGTGTGAATGGTTTGTTTCGAAAGTCCATTCCCGTTGTTACCACATACTACTTGGGCATAAATTATTGGACTACCAAGACTAGGAGGATGTTCAATATACTTGTCTGGACTGCTTCTAGTGTAGGAGAAAGGTTGGTTGTTATTGTGCTGAACGGAAGCAATTGGTGTGATCATAATGCTAGTTTTTGGGGGAGGTGGTGAGCCAGAGTCATTACTCAATCTCTTCACCATACTGTTAACAGTTCTACCTCTTGTGAGAGGTAATTTCTCCACTGGTTTTTGACTGCTGTGAATCATTTTTGGCGATTCTTTTGGATGTTCCAAGTTATCTATTGCAGCTTTTATAAGAGGTCCAGTATTAGAATTATCCTGGATATCTTTATTTATGTTCTCTTGAGAAACAGGAGCTTGTATTTCAGTTCTGATTTCTTTCTTGGATAGCGTTTTAGCGTTATTAGCATCATTTGTCTTGTTCTTTCTATTCGTGATCGATTTCAGTTTTTTACCTAGAGCAGTGTGTTTGAATTTTTTGCCACCACTGGAAATCTTCTCTGCCTTATCAACATCAATGATAATGGGCTGGGGTTTTTTCACTTCTTCGAGAGTGACTCTTACGCCAGTTTCTTTATATAGTTCCTCATCGACTTCATCTATGTACTGTTTGAGTTTCTCAGTAATACTTTCCTTTTTCTTCTTTCTTAGAGGAGCACGTACATTACGAATATTCTCTTTATTTGTGTCGTCTTCTGGAGCTGAAAAGTAGTCATCCCTTTGGGTTACTTCGATTATGGGTGACAACTGTTTCTTCTCACCAGTTTTTTTCACTAACTCTTTACTATCACTTCCTGAACGTTTTAGTCGCCTATCACCCTGTCCATACACTTTTAATTTAGTTTGCGAAACATCACTGACACTACGTCGTAAGTTCGATTTCTTTTTTTGGGGATTCTTTTCCTTCTTGAACAAGTCGAAAATTGATGTTTTCTCAGATATATTCGGTGTACTAACTGCTGCGAAGGTCCTTGGAGGTTTTTTGAGTGGGTTGAATTCTAGTGAGCTTCTACGAAGAGACCGTCTGTCGAGTGATCCAGCTTGAAATTCTTTATGTTTCTTCCGAGTCGGAAGGGTATAGAATTTTTCAGGAGAGACACCTGAAAATAAATGAAATTGATTGTTAATGAAATATATCCATTGAGCACGAGAAAGGTATACAGATAAACCATAAAAACAAAACTGAACTTCGAGTGCAATTGAAATGTTAGAAAATAGTAGATTGTTTTATTAGGATCAAAAGTGACACTTTGTTTGACGAGCGACAAGCTCGGCTTCGCTAAACGCTCCGCCTCGCAAATGCAAAATTTGCGAGTCGAACAAAGTCACTTTTGATCCGAATAAAACATGCTATTTTTTCTGCAACCGAAACAATTAACTCAAATAAACATTAAAGTAACCACCAACATCAACAGCAGGTTAGGTTTTCTAGGATGTTCGAATTGTAGTTTCAATATAAATACAACCACAGAGTGACATATTTGTGTATGGACCAGGTGCTCTAATGGCAAATACCGCGCCAGTGCCAGCTATAGGAACAAGACGTGGAAAATGTTAGGTTAGTGAGCATATCAAGTCAACAATGATAATTGTGATTATTTATTCCTCTCCATACTACACTGTGTTTGACTTGATGATGAAATGAAGCTAAACAATATCGTTGTTTGAGACAAAAAAAAACTATTGCTTGCCGTGATTATTCAAAAACAAGTTATCCATCCCGAGAATAACGAATGAAATACAGATCAAGCAAGTATTTGAATCTTGAAGGCTTCCCTGATCAAAACAAAAATACTTAACTGAGATGTTTATAATTCCATTACTAAACTATAATAAGGTGTATTTATATCTCCAGCATGGGTATGAAATGCTAAATCAGCTGAAATCGGAAACAAATCAGGTATGCGTCTCAACCCAAATAACTAACCATCACAATGTTGTTTATTCTTGATGACGTCCAGTAGATCCTTTTTAGTTCCTAGGAGCTAAAGTTGAACTTTAGCTCCTAGGAACTAAAATTCAACTTTAGCTCCTAGGAACTAAATATGTTGCCAAGCAACATATCTATTTTTGTGTCAGTAATAGAAACGTCAATTTAAGAGCTAATTTTGGTATCAAAATGGACGACTTTTGTGTCGGTTGCAGAAAAATGGATTTTATTTACAACCATGTATGTAATTTGTCATTACTAACGTCATTGAAGGTTATGGAGTGTCACATTACACACCTCTACTTCTCGCACTCACTTCCCTCCCTCACTCAATTATGTCATATTATAGGTATGTTCAGAACAAAACAAAGATTCGTTAATTTTGATCGAAATATGATGTTTGTAAATAATAGTATATTACACACCGAGGTGGGAAGAAATTCATTCCTGTCGTGAGATTAGTTACCGAGATGCGAAGCGTCGAGGTTAGCTATGATCTCGAGACAGGAATGAAACTTCCTACCGAGGGGGTTCTCAAGATCAGAGACTATGTTTCATTCGTGAAAATTGGGAAATTCGATATGACGAACGAGAATTGTAATAATCATGATCGTGTCTAGAGATTTTCGGGATCGGGGATTATAATTCTTTCGACAAAATTAGGAAATTCAAGATGGCGGATCCAATATGACGGACGAGTATTGTAATTCTTATTGAAACTGGTATATGGGGGTTCTCGGGGTCGAAGATTATCATTCTCTCGTCAAAATTTACAAATTCAGGAAACATTTAGAAATTCGAGTTGGCGGAACCAATATGGCGGATGAGTTTCGTAATTATAATCCGATTCTACTCAAAAGTGGTACCTAGGGGTTTCCGTGATCATGGATTATAATTCCCTCGTCAAAATAAGGAAATTCAAAGTGGCGAACGAGTTTTGTAGTTATAACCCGATTGTATATTGTATTATAATTCTCTCGTCAAAATTGGGAAATTCAAGTGGACTTGAAAGGAGTAGAAAATGAATGGTAGTTATAAAAAGTGATCAAACACGCTTTTAAAGAATAGTCAAACTGAAAAGAAGTGAAAAATATATAAAATAATAATAGTGGGTTGATGAATATTTTCCTAATCATTTTTTTTTGGAAATAATGTATATAGCCAAACAATGTTTGGGGGTGGGCAACTAGTAATAATATAGATTCACTTCACGAATATAGTGCAATATTCGATTAAAGAAGAAAAGGTAGATTTTATGAAAAATTTTTGACACTATTTGATCAAAAAAGCTAATAGGTAGGCAACAGTTTTAACTTTACCGCACTAGTGACGCCACAGAAAATCCTTAGGTATATTTGCATATAATAAATAAATATTTTTCCAATAAGGAATGAAATTGGCTGTAAATGTTTCATTCTATCACTAGTCGATACTGATTCAATTGCAAATTTTCACCATTTCTCGATTTGCTTCTGGAATATACATGAATTGATATACCTATTCGGACATATTCATGGATTATTATGACTTTTATCTGAACTACCTACCTAATAACACAGAGAAAAAACTTTAATAATGGTTATTAAACATTTAATAGTCACAGTTAAAAACTTGAATACTATATGGGACAGATATACAGTATGATAGTGGTAGATAAAATATTTTTCCTGAATCGGTATACCTGCAACAGACACTCAATTATATAGTTCATTGATCGTTAATAAATAAATATATTTAAAATCAACTCAGGATCATTAAAGTGTTGAATAACATTGATTAGACAGTTTAATCACCATTGAACATCAAATAATTCCCTTTGAAACATTGCTATATTATCATAGAGACTTCTTCACCTGTTGTAGGTTTATACTTCGATGATAGTTATTCAACAGTTTAATAAATTTGCAATACTATATAGTTGCCACAGGTAGAAAAGCATGCTGTTGCAGAAAAATAGGTGATATTCTCTGAGATATATCTACCTGATGTTGGGTACATCGTTTAATTACTACCACTGAAGAATACAATTATTCCAGAAACATTATTTAGTTGTCCTTCGATCATAAATAACTCGTCTCTGGAACATAATTTAATTATCACAGATGTGCAATTTAATTGGAATATTGGGGATGCGCAATGTGAATACCTGAAAAAGGAGTCCAGAAACGATCATTCTGATTCCTGATTTTTAATGGCCTGGATATAGGAAACATCATAAAGATACTGTCTACGAGTATCAAGTGCACCCGTGAAAAACATAAAAAATCATGAATCGGAATGATCATTTCTGGTCCACTTTTTCAGATGGTGCAGACCCGTATAAAAAATCAAATCATTAGGTTTCTGGTTAACTATTCATCATTTATCAACATTACAGATTCAATTTTTTGAAAGCTTCCATTTGGATGGATATGTGCTTATTACTGAATATTGGAGCAAGAAATGTTTCATATTTTCAAGGTATCACACAATATGGATGGTGATTCTATAGAAGAAAAAAAACATTGATACAAAATATAGGTACATTATATAATATATTCTAGTCATTTGTAATTCCAGACCAAACTACATAAAAAAATGAACTTGAAATAATTATTTTCAATATACAATAGTTGTCGAACTGACTCATATACAAATATATTTCAGACGTTGATGGAGTATCTGCGGGCCGCGGGGGTACTAGGTCCACTTGAATTTAGATCAACTGGCATCAAGTTCTAATCGGGTACATCATTACCATCAGCACCCTGAAATTTGAAAATTCCTCTATATAATATATGTTGAATTTCTCCTATTATTTTCTAAACAATTCAAACAAATAATCCTATTTCAAGAGATTCATTGGAAGAATAAACTGTTAACATGTAGCGAACATCCCGTGAACCCATCCAAGTAAGGCCATTCTTCATAAAACTTCACTTTGACTCAAATCCAAGGACACCGAATAAGAAAAATCAAGAACCGTTACCTGAAATTTTTTCCCGTGTACCTTCTATGAGAAATAAGATTTTTTGCAAACTTTCACAGTAGAGAGTCTTTTCATTTTGATATTTCCCAATTTATTTCTTGGCTTTTGTGAAAAATAGCCATAAAAACTCCCCTGTTTCGATAATAACTTGAGGTCAATTCATTTATTTTTCTGAGATTATATATTTTTTTAATCTTCAACAAAATGTAAACTACTCAACAACTGACTTCCTACTGAAATTTTGACACCATAGAGCACACTCGTTAAAAATATTGAGAAGCCACAACCAGAATAGGAGTAATTTTCAATATATAACCTCTTCAAATGAAAAATAAATGACACGAACCACGAATAAAACGGGCATATGATATCAGATGTAACAATTTATGGCAAATGATCAACCAACATAAGGAACTAGAGGGCTCAGAATCATTTTCGGAAGGAGAAAAACATATCACTAAAAAACGTGTGCCCAAAAAGATTTCTTCATGCACGGAGAAAAAGGAATTGTATATTACTCACCAAGAAAGAAGAGTTTTGCGTAAACTTCGCCAAATCCTGCTGTCTCAAAGTGTCGTCGATGAACTGCTTATGCTGCTTCTATTTTTCAACTCTCGACCTGGGGCTAGTCGCTCCATAGTGATAATTTCACTGGGAGAAATGTTTTTGGAATAGTCACAATCACTTAACTTACATGCACAGAACAAATGTTCCAGAATAGAAAAAGGCACGCATAAGTGTTCGCAAACACCAAAGGTACATATTCTTAGTACAGATACAGACTGAGTTCATCAATGGAATGAAGTGCAGAAGAGTTGCGCAGTCAGCTCGTGGCGTAATCGTGAGTATTCGAAACTAGCCGAATGATGACGAAACAGAAAAATCAAGTGAACTGTTACCTGTTGTTATTAAACTGGTAATAATAACAGAATTATTTCATTCACTCATAGAAAACAAGGATTGAGGGACAATTATATTAATGTTAGGTGGATTGTTGTATACTGAGTATTAAACACATCGATAAAAATTAATCAAGCACAAGAAATATGGCCTGTTCCAGGAGCATAGTTCACCTGCCACTCGAAGTCGATATCAGAAAAAAAATTTCACCTATTGTAATGGTACAAAAGTTCATTATTATATTTGTGGGTATTAAATTTTACTCAAGTGTACCTGTGTACCTGGACCGTTTTTCTCTGTGA